TGTGAACGGCTCAATTAAATGTCGGGGTGATTTTGTCGAGCTGCATGTAGCCCGGATTCTTCTACGCTTCATGATTTATCGCGTAGTCAGAGATCGAAGCGTGGAGGACCATCGATTTTTTTATCGACGTCTTGCTGGCCAATGGGTGTCCGAAAACACGTTCGCCGTCGTCTTCGGATATTTGATTGACTGATTGGAGCGGATTCTCAGAGCAGCTGTAATTTATTAATTTATTCCACCGATAAATCGCCTTCAATCCGCACGTGGGTAGCGGACGACCGGTCCATGGTATCTCTCTCTTCTTCGTTCCCCTTTTAATCTCGTCTCTCCTTCTCTTTCTCTCTCTCTCTCTCTCTCTCTCTCTCTCTCTCTCTCGCGCTCTGTCTCTTTAAAGAGGAGGGAGACCGTTATTCTACTAAATGTGCTTCATCGCTTAGGATGATTTTGCTCGAAAAATCAGCATCCATTTGTTGATGTTCAATAATCCATTTTCACGCTCCATTTTCACTAACCCTAAACTGTCAGCTGTTAAATTGTTTTTTTTTTGGGGTTGCCAACACTTTACTGCACAAATGGCGGCAAATTCAAATCTTGCGTTAATTTTGGGACACCCTTTACATCGATGTAAATAACAGCAGCGCGGTGTGTCATTTGCGCGCATTGCACAATTGGTGGGTGTTATGCGAAAATAAGTTAACCCGCTAAGTTTAAGTAAATGAAGTCTAAAATATACAGTCCTGTTCCGCTGATCCAGCTACGAGTACCACTTTTTTTTTTTTACATTTTGCCGATTAACGTATATCCTTAGCGTGGGTCTGTTTGACCGATTTTCGCAACGAGAATATTTTCCTAGAGAAATGTATGGTTGAAAATGAACAAGTCGGACAAATTAGATCAACTAGAATTCTAATTGTTTAAAATTAGAATTCTAATAAATTTAACGAGAAACTTCTAATCGTCTTCATTTTCAACCAGAACATTCCAATTAATCCAACTAGACATTTTTCTCAGTGTGGTTCCGGGATCGATACTTCAATATTCTTCTCGCCATCCGGCATCCTTCGAGGATTTCAAGACGATAACATAAATGCAGTCTCAAAAGAGAGAGAGAGAGAGAGAGAGAGAGAGAGAGAGAGAAAGAGAGAGTTCTCAACACCTAGCAGTCACGTAAAGCAAACGACTGGTTACGCGATCGAGGCTCTTCCAAGACACGTCCGCTATATATGTTAATCGCGCATGATCATATAAATATTCAAACATCGCTGGGCTGGACCGCAGCTCGAACGGACCTCCGACGTGCTACTGGTGTGGACTACCTTATCTGAGTATCCACACTACTACCTGTCGCGCATAGATAATTAACAATGAGTAACGACGTACAAATCAATCGTCTTGCTCGCTGGCGATCGGCGATGGTACGCGTAAGAATGTAGTCCTCTGGCGGTATCCATTCTCGAAACTGAACGATTAAACTAGTCATGAAAACTCTCAATCCAATCATTAAGCCAAAAATTACCACCGGTACTTCAGTTTGAGTTGCTTACCGAAATTATACTGATTTAATGACTGCTCTTGAAAATCACTCGACAAGACATATATTTATTGTTTCCGGTGTAATCGCTTGAACACTTGGATCTCATCGAAATTCCATCGATCTCTGTTTATCGCTCGATAGATACACTCAAGGAAAAAATGGTTGGCTGCATCTCAATTATTCGGCGAGATTCGAGAGAACGTTCTTACCAAAAATTTGTTTACGAATGCCAATTCTGAGGGAACCAGTTTTGCCGATTGGCGAACGTGATTGGAGTCGCAAATGCATACCGGTCCAATTTCATCGAATGTGTACCTCAAAGATTCTTGTATTGTGCGGGAGGATGCAACTAATTTATGGAGGCGAGACCGCAATGTTAACCAGCGTCACTTACGAGTGTCTCCTTCGCGATTTCGAAGCTAACGACATGTTTGCACATACTAGTGCGGTTTCATTTCCTTTCCGTTTCTGTATTTTTTTACTTTTCTTCATTTTTATCTTTACGCGAAATATGTAGCAAAGCATCTTAACAATTAAGAGTGATGTGAAACAAAATTATTAAAGAAATTATTTTTGGGCCTTAATATATTGGCCTAATTTGTTCTTACATGGAAAGAATGATTTTACTGAAATATTAAAAAATATAAATAGATACAGATCTGAAAATAATTTTGTTAAATTATTACAATAATTATGTGGGAAATTCAAGCATGATGAGCAATGCTGCAAAAAGTTTTGACATTTTAGCAATCAGTTCGCGAGCATTCTGCTTAGTTATTTTAATAATCCAATAAAGTTATATATATATATTTTTTTTTCAGACCTATATCCGCCTAAATTTTTAGATATTTGAACCGTTCTTTCCATATGTAATATTTAAATAAGTTTCTACTACGATATTAATATTTTTCCCGTTACACATCCATTTAGCCTGTCTATTCATTTCCTTTAGACAAACATTCTCGATGACGTTCTTTGTATCGAAGCGATCTAATACCAGGAACACAACCCGCCAACTTCGCCGGACTCGATTTAACTCGCTCAAGTACTCGGAATGGTTATTAATTATCTTCGTGCAGACGCGTCGGCTAATTGGACGGCGTTGTATGCATCTAGCAAGCGAGACGAGCGAGACGTGAATTTTGATTCATCTCTCGGATCAATGCGAGAAAATCATTGTCATCTGTATCACGTAATTTTTCTTGCTCTCGCGAACTAAATAATAAAATAATGAAAGTCCATCTCTCAAGAAACTGCAAAAGGAAAATTGTTTCAATGAAATGAAAAAAAGTTACTTTCGAAGATAACCAAGAGATATGAAAAACGGAACGTTAAAACATATATATAGGTACAAGATAAAAAAAACTTTGAACGTTAAAAGATACATAATGATGTAGAAAGTGAAAAACATTATTAGAAATGTGACGTGCACGATATTACACATTATTCAAATGTATTGTAATATATTTATTGCATTCTAACATTACGATATTATTCCATTGTTGCAGTGTAAAAATTCGATATCTCGAGCAGAAACAAATAACGTCAAAGTGACGTTAAAAAACGAATCGCGGCTGATTGGAAAGTTTTGATTTTTTTTAACGCAACTTAATCGTTTCACACAGCCATTTTAATGTCTTGATGATCTAATTGTGTTCTGCTTGAGATTCGATATTGAGCGGAAAACTGGATTCGCATAGATAAATTCCCCTCGGTCCACGATGGATCATCTATTTTTTACGAGGAAACACAGAGAGCACGGGAGAAGGGATAAACGGTTCGTTGAACGTTGGTATCTCGCGCCCGTCGTCGAATGCATGTCGATGAGGCGAACGAGCGGGCTTTCGCGTCCATTGCACCGTGAGAAATCGAATTCCCTGCGCGCGAATGTGTCGCGGTCGCGTGCGGAATTCCGATGCATCGCGACGCACCCCGGTCGTGCCCGTTTGTACGAAGATGCGACACTCGCGGAAGATAATGGCGGACGACGCGGCAACCATCCGTCCGACGCTCCGACGAGGCAATGCAACGCGACAGGCACAATCGCGCCGCGTTCTGCTATTTGGATAATGCCGGGCTTCGTCGCGGCCCTCTTCTTGCGCGCCTTGTTATTACGGGAAGTTCGAGCGTGGAAAGACAATACGAGGACAATCGGAGAAACTGGAACGCAGCAACGAACGCGCCGTTATTCCCGGTGTTTACCGGAGATTGAGACACTTCAGACGCGTACATTATCCCGTTACAATTGTCCTTCTATTGTCTTTCTATTTAGAAAGTATTCGGAACAATTGTCACGTATAAGTGCATTTCGCGCGGACTTTCTGTTAAAATAAAACGGAATGATATTTAAAGTAATTTTGGATCGATCTGTCTGTACAACTGGATTTAATATAGATCTAAATTTGTATCTAAACATTTAGATAAAATAAATCTGAAAATAATTTTGTTTAGGCCATCGAAATAACTAACCAGTCAATATTTTTACGTATAAAAGACGTTTGAAAGTCCCAAAGTCATATTTTAAGACGTCTTAAAATTATCAGAAAGACGCCTTATGGCATTTTTTGTGACATCTTTAGGGAGTCTTTCAAATGTCCTGTATTTAGAATCTTAAATCATGACGTCTTTTAGACATTTTTTAGTCCAAGTCTACAACTTTACTTTAAGAAGCCGTAAGCCGTAAGTTGTAAGTGACGATGTATCAGCCACAGAACCTATGCTTTTAACTCGTAAGAATTGGGTTTTGCTCGATTCGCTTAAGTCTAACGATTAAAACCTAAAGACTGCGCAAAAACAGTTTAAAAAGAGAAATTATTGTCACTTAATCCCTTCCGGCTGACGACTTAAGGCCTCTCAAAGCAAAGTTGTGAACCGAGACTTATAAGACATTTGCAAACTTTTTTATACGTCTTTAAGACGTCATAATGTTTTCTGGGAAATATAATTTTTATACGCGCGTACAATTTCAGGTTACATTGGCCGTATCAATATCTACTCGTACACTGTCAGTATTGAAAATCTATATAATTATACGTAACAACTATAGATTTTTTGAAAATCTATAATTAATGTTACGTATAATTATCTAGATCTGCTTGAGATTCTAATTATTATGATAGTCTCAAACAAAATTATTTTCAGATCGGTATTATATATATATTTACCAAATTTCTAAATACTTGAGCAAAACTGTTATTTCCTTGACAGTATAAAGAAATTATGTAATAACGTATCTTACCGTGAATATTATTATTGTCGTTACAGCTATATTGTAATTGATACTGCATTATAATTATTATTATAATTAGTACGATACGATCGATAGCTTCGCCGGTACCGCGTGTCTAGTTTCCCACTAGCTACCCACATGAGGGACGTCAGCCGTTACCGACAGCGTATTCTCCGAAGGGGAATGTCGAGCGGCGCTGGAAGCGTCGTCGGGGGTGGCGTCGGAGCGGGTCGCGCGGCCGCCAGCAGCGGGTGGCAGGTACCCCCTGCGCGTGGGGAAGCGAGTCGAGTAAAATCGTTCGTACGGATAGACCGACGCGACGGAAGGAACTGCCTGCGGTGCCTGTCATATGGAGCCGAGCGACGGGGCGGTGTGTTAGGCGATCGGCGGTGTCCCGCTTCCGCGGGACGAACGCGCGGGCCTACCACGAGAGGAGCGCGAATGATCGATCCGACAGTCCGGTGAGTGTACAAGTACCCGCGGAAGAATGCCGGAAGTTCGCGGAGGAAGGAAGAACGGATGGATGGGGGCGGGGGGGGGGGGGGGGGGGGGGA